AGGAGGCCTACGGGGGCGGGACGATGGTGCGCTCCGGGCAGGACCCCTATGCCCGCAACAAATTCAACCAGGTGGAGAGCGACAAGCTGCGGATGGACAGAGCCGTCCCCGACACCCGGCACGACCAGTGAGTACCCACAGCTACGTCCGCTCTCGCAGTACTGGTGATGCTCGGCTCTTCCTGTTAACTCCGGGAAACCGAACCTGTGTTGTACCTTTAAGGTGTAAAACTAGGAGAAAAAGGGTGTGTGACAGTGGAACTTCGCCGGTGGGAAGCAGAGGGAGCGTCTGCGTCGGGGTCAGGTCTTCCTGGTGCCTGTGGCCGAGGGTCTCTGGCCAGAGCACAGGAGTCCAAGGTCATGTGACTGGTTTCACGCTGACTCCAGGACTCAAGCCATGGTGGGCCACGTGCAGCAGGAACTCAGACAGGGTCAGGCGGGCTGCCCTCTCTATACCCCACACAGGGAAAGGCTGTTTTCCGCACCCTTCTCTTTGCTCTTTAGAGATCGGGGACTTGAGGGTGGAGGGCACCCAGGGGTCCAGCGAAGCTCGCTCAGGGCTCCCCAGACATTTGGAAGAGGAGTCTGTCACCACTAATCTGGAAGGCGGTATTCACATCCCTGTTGTCACCCTGCACCTGTGCCTACCGGTAAGAGCCTCCATCAGGAGGCTGTTCACATTAGGATTGGTGGCTTAGCCTAGTCTCAGATCATTAAAATGTAAGGAGCCACATCTCAAGGACTGGTATCTTCCCAGTGCTCGGTCTAGCTGCTCACCGAGTCAGAGAACACGGGAGAACACCAGGCAGGTTTTATCTCTCGCTTGGTGGAGTTGTGTCCCCTTCATCGAGCAGTCCTGCGGCAGCAGACACCCACAGGGTGGCCTCTGATCCAGTCCTGTTCTGCTGTTATCCCCTAGGGGCAGTGTCAAGTCCCAGGCCGAGGCTCGGTCCCACAAGACCGCCTGCTTCTCGGGCCAGCTGCAGCCCAGGTTCTACCTGTGCCTCTTTCTCAGCCCCCTCCTTAGGTTTGAGTAATTTGCTAGAGCAGCTCACAGAGCTAAGGGAAGCATTTTGGTCTACTGGTTTATCATATATATATTATCGTGTGTGTGTGTGTGTGTGTGTGTGTGTGTGTGTGTGTGTGTGTGTGTATGGGAAAGGAGAAATCGTCCACCGGGGGATGGCCGTGCCATAATCCCTCCTTCTCCATCTGTTCTCAGGATTTGGAGCTTGTCTCGCGTCCAGTGTGATTTTCAAGGTGCTAGGTCCAGGGTTCGAACTGTGTGGGAGTCTAGCACCTTAGCCACTACACCACCTGCTGGCCTGGTCTACTGAACTCCCATGTTAAACTCACGCCGGGCACGTGAGCATGTGTGCCCAAGATCCCAAGGAGAATGGAAGAGAAGGGACTGTGGCATGGTCATCCCCCCTGGGGGTGATTTCTTGCTTTCTGTCTCTCTGTCTCTGTCTCTGTCTTTCTAGCAAGCGCACACGCCCTATAGAAAAAAACCTCTCCAAAAAAAAAAATGCTGATGAACACCAGTGGAGAGCGTGGGACCAGACACGTGGAGAGGGCATGAAACTTCCAGGTCTTTCTGGGTCCACCACCCTCCAGGCACCTGCATGTGCTCAGTATCCAGACACCCTCAGCCCAGGGCTGTGGGGTTTTGTGCAAGTTTCATTACATAGGCCTGATGATGACGTCACTGGCCTTTGTGACCGACTCAGCCTTCAGCACCGCCCCTCCCAGGGCCGTGGGGTAAGAGCGAGTTCCCCACAAGGTTCCCTTCCTCACACGCCCACTTAGAGCTGAGAGAAGGTGGTGGCAGCCCTGACGGCTCTGTAGCGTCCCCTTCTGTCTTCTCCATTGCGTATCCTCTCCAAAACTAGGCACGCTTCCATTTTTTCAGTTTCTGAAATATGAGTTTGTGCAAGCAGATGTGTGAATGTTTATTCCATGGTGGGCTGCCTTTTAGGTGGGTTTAATTTTAGTTCCAGCTACTGTGTCTTGTTCATTTGCATGTGTGAAAGGAGCAGCTGGGAAGCCTTCTACATTGGTTGGATTTGGGCTAAATTAAAGTCTATCCAAAGTCAATTGGATGCCTGGAACTGAACCAATTTAATATCCTCAAAGTGTAAGCTCTAGAATAACTATTCTTGTTGAATGTCAGGTTAAGGAGATCTGGTACCTCTTTGAATTTCTCCCCAGTATATCTAATGGTAGCTATTAAAGAATTTGACCTTCCTGCATAAAAATCTTTTTTTTTTCTTTTTCGGTCTCTGCAGTACTCCCTTTGTGTAGGTCTGTAAGAATGCTTACGCGGTGGAATCGTCTTCAGTTGCGATGAGTCGGAAAGCAGTGGAGGTGAATGAAGAAAGCTTTTGGAGTCCCAGAAACCTTGCTTGAAATCTCAGGCTCTCCAGATCCTAATTCTGTGCCTTTCTCATCTATAAGATGACCCGGCATCAGTCCGAGTGTAGTCTCTGAGAAGTAAATGAAATGCTTCCGAGGGCAGGGGCTTCTCCCCTGGGACACCCTGTGACCTCCTTCCCTGAGGCGTAGCGCCCAGCCCCACGGGATTGCCATGCCCCTTCCCTGCTTTGTTTTTCTCTTTTCTCACCCACACGCCACGCGTTCGTATGTCGTACTCACCGGGACAGGGAGTTGTGTGTATCCAGGGAGTTACTCAGATCCTCCTGACCCTCAGTGCACTCTGTATTGGTTGGGCGAGGGAGCTGGTGTATAGGGCGTGCCCAGACATCCTTAATGACACCAAGGATCACGAGAAAAGGGAGAACAAAAGGGGGGCCCTGAGGAGTAGAGTCTTGGGAACGCCAGATGAACCGCGAGGGACAGCGCCTCTGTGGGGCCCTCCCGGGCCGGCCCTCCCCTGCAGCTGGGATGAAAGCAAGGAGTGGCGTTGAGATTCGCAGAGAACAGAACGCTCCCGGGCTGTGTCTCATTTACTTAGTGTGTGACCGATTTTGTTCCAGGAAGAAATGTGCCCATGGACGCGGGAAGCAGAGAAAAGCCCGCCGTAAGGGAAATGCTAATAAGTATTATATCCAGGACGTCAGACCCTCGCAGACCCCAGGAGGATGGTGGCCCATCCTATTCTTAACAGTAGTTTCTCAAAGAGGTGTCTCCTTGCTTAATGTCATTTGAGACTTCCAAGAGTTTGTCAAGACTTAAAGCGGAGGGGGATTCCAAAGGTGCCTTTCAGACAGCCGGCTTCTTTTCTCCCTGCCGAGAGCTAGTATCTG